GGACCTTGAGTTCTATGCACAGCTGAGGGGCAGCAGTTCCAGATTTCTCACCACCCGCCGTGATAAATCTCCTTCCCTCCCTCCCCTTGCACCTTCAAGAAGTTGTTCCTTTTATTTGTGAAGTAGAAAAGTGATTTTTAAAAGGTGAAAGAGTATTTCTGACTTTGATAGCATGATTAGCTGGGCTCAGGATATTGTTATGGCTTATCTCGCTCTTCTGTGATAACTCAGAAAAACAATAAATGTCTTCTTACAGCAGACTGACATTCAGTATTGAAATTGGTCTCCTAATCTTTATGTGATTGCTTTCTCTGTGATAGAAATATTGCCTCTTGTAGGGTATTTATTGTCTAGTTCTTTCCAAAGTATTGACTTTATGTAACCGTTTGATATACATCAAATCCCTTAGAGATTTAATAAACTCTTCTGGTCAGTCTTCTGTTGTAAACACATTGAGATTTATGGTCATCTTAGTGGAAAGCCCTTTTTCGCTGAAATTCTCTGCTTCCAGATCTCCAAAGACACGAATGGGAGCATAGATCACGGTGGGAGGCTGAGCTGCAGCTGCTGCCTGCTGGCCAGGGGCTGCTGAGGGTTGGGGAGTGTGGGGTGGTGGTGGGCTGGGCTGGGGCACAGGAGCTCCTGGGGTCAGCCTGTGGCTCATCCATCCCTGGCACAGCCTGGCTCCAGGAGCATTCCCGTGGAAGGAAACATGTGCTGTTATGCAGTTATGCATAAATTCCATGTACTGGTGCTGTGCTGCAGCACCTGGGATTGAGAAATGGAAACCTGGGAGAAGCCTCAGGAGCAGCCACATGTGTGCCTTCTCCCTGCCAGGTGCCTCGTGCTTTCCCACCCTCCAACCCTCTGGAGCTATCATTTCTTATTCTGAAACCAGACCATAGGTATTTCAGTATGGTACTTTAAAAATGTCCTTTCCTTTGGGAATGGAGAGGGGAGGAACACACTTGTTTTTAAGAAGAAACTTTTCTCCATGCAGGAATTGGCTTTCCAGGGACAGCATGCAAGAAATCCAGCCGAGCTCTTCAAATTCACTCATTAAATGCAAATACTCTCTTTTTCATCTTACATTAACCTCCCTTTAATGGTGTGAAAATGTCTTTTCATTTCACAGCTCAGCATTAAAAGACTATATAGTGAGAGGTTTCTGAAGTGTTATAAATCAATAGCAGCTACAGAACAGAGCAGGTTCCTGCTTTGCTTGCACAGGGGAGGAGCTGCTGTTCCTATAATGTCCAAATCAATCCCCTTAGACTGGCAGTGCATCCAAACTCTGCCCTTCCAGCTGCTGGAGCTTGGGCTCTGGGGTCTGGCTCTAGAAAGTAAGTTCTGGAATGAGGCTTTCCTCTTATTTTGGTGAGATGAATTTCAGTTTCCCTTCTGATGGTGCAATTTAATGGGCAAATGTAGTTTGCAGATGCCTCTCCACAGCCTTTGCATTTCCTGTTGTTGTTGTTGTGGTGTTCCTGCCCTTCAGCTCCTCTCCCGGGCAAGAATGAGAGGCAGCAGTGAAGATAAAATGTTTTTTCTCACCTGCCTGTCACAGAAGGTGCCTGTATTGCTTCTCTGGCTGCTTCACGGCTCGGGAGCAGGTAATTAGTTGGGTTAGTGATGGAACCTCAGATAAATGGTGTGATTCCATGGCTTCTCTGCTGATGGGAACACTTAATGGGAAACTTACTGGGAATGATAAAGTGATGTATTTAAACAAGCTAAAAGGAGAATTTGGGCAGTGTTTTGAGGCAGCATGACAACCACAGCTCTCTGCAGCTCTCTCTATTTCCCACTCTGCAAACCCAGACCTAGAACTGAAGGCTGGTGTGCACATCACTGTGCCCAGGGCTGGACCTTGGCATGGTCCTTGTCCCTGTCCCTCATTTGTGGGACAGGCTGGAATCTCCCTCAGAGCAAATATTGGGAACAGCTCCCAGGGTGCTGCCAGCCCCCCGTTTGCTCCTCTGCACACCAGGTTGTTGCCACTGGAGCAGCAAGCAGAGCATTCATGTGGAGCAGAAACCTTGCAGTGTTATTTCATCTCCATTATTTTTCCCTCCTGATCTATTGAGATATAACCACTTCCAAAGACAGGGACAGATTATGGTCATGGAGATGGCTTAGCTGGGACACAGCTAGTCATTTTTCCTTGCTGATATTTTATTAATATATGTTATTAACCTTGATTCTCCTTCCCCACGGTGCTTTATCATCTGAACTAATTAATTCTTCTTGCAGGATGTACAGGGAAGGGATGGGCACGTAAAGGAATGTGTCTGCAGTGGCCACAGTGGTACCTGCAGTGAGGGGTGATCCCTGAGGAGGAGACCTGGCACACAGCAAACAGAGCCTGGGTACATGCACCTGTAGATTGGCTGAATTTGTCCTGTCCCTTTTAACGGGCACAAACACTGAGGGAGATGATGCCCTAAGGAATAACAGAGCTGCTTTTCTGCTGTTTGAATGAGCACGAGACAGCCAGGAAGAACAAACAGTTTATTTGGCTGGTGTCAGGATGTGCAGCCCCCCGGGTCCCCTGGCCCTCCCTGTGGGTGATGCTCAGCCCAGCTGACCAGGGAGGGCCCGGCAGGCTGGGCAGGGCTGGGCAGGGCTGGGCAGGGGGTCTCCTCTCCCTGCCCCTCACACCACGGTGCTGCTGGGGGCTCCCAGAGACTCTGTGCTCCCCGCAGCTGCTGCTAACATTCTTCTTCCTTTTCTTCAGTTCCCCCCATCCCCTCCTTGTTTTACTCTTTCCTTCTCTCACACCTCCCTGCTCCAGGGCTGACATTTGCTAATAGCAGCACATTGGTAGAGAAGCAGTGGAAGTCTGAGCGAAACTGGGTGCCTGCTGTAGCCTGGCAGGGTAAATGTAATCCTGTTAGCAAGATGAAAATACCATATGCCAGGGAGAGATGGAAGGAGATCAGAAAGGATGACTGTGCTTGCAGAGGGCAAAAGAAAGTACGTACACAAGTTCATTCAAAACTAAATAAAAATTGGCTGGATTTGTAAACAATCTCAATGTCCCGAAAATGGCTCATCTGATTCATCTTGCCCAGAGATCTCAGTGCACTGAGTGACCTCTGTGTTCCCAGCTCTTTATCTGCAGGGTCCCTGGTGCTGGTGAGCAGTGGCACTTCCAAAAGGGTGTGCTGGCTCCTGAGCCACTGCAGGGCTGTGGAACGGGGGACAGTCGTGTGTCCCACGGTCTGAGGGGCTGTTTGTCCATTCTCGCTGGGAAATTCAGAATCTCCGAGTGCTGAAGGGGAGAGAAGGTTCCAGGGACGTCTTCCTGCAGCTTTTGATGCTACTTTATATTCAGCAGCAAAGTCTTCACTGGGATGAGCCAGTGCTGCCCGTGGCTGTCCGAGCACCCAGGTCAGGGAGGGCTGGAGAGCCAGGCACTGTCCTGGGCTGGGGGCAGTGGCCATCCCCCTCCCCAGGGCCCCTGGGCACCCTTGCTGTCACAAGCCACTGTGGCTGGGAAGAGGGAGCGGGAGCATATTGTCCTTGATGCCAGGAGAGATCTGAAATCCAAATGTTGTTTCAGGGAGAGCATCTCTGAGAGCAGCCTACAGCATTTTACAGGCATTTGAGTGTTCTTCCCTTTGAACTAAGCTGCAATTTGTCTTTGTAGATGTCTCTAATACATTAATACAAATGGTGTAGTAGTGGAAATGCATTATAATACTGCACAGTGTTGCTCTTAGTAATTCTCCTCCTTCAGCAAGTGAACACTTCCTCGCTCATTTGTATTCATTGTTTTGATGCTTAACTTGAAAAATGTATATTATACAACAGGCTGAAACCCATGACGAATAAAAGGAAAGAACCCAAGGGGATAATAAGCATCTCAGCACTGCTGTGATGTCTCCTGCTGCTAACATCAAAGCAACCAAAGGCATCACTGCTGTGTGCAGAGGACAGGGAGCTCCATGGAGCTCCATCTCACCGCAGGGACGGGGCCCGTGACACCAGGAGAGCAGGGAGCACCACCAGGGCCAGCACCCGCAGGGTGTCAGGGACCTGACCCTGTGCCCTCCCCTGTGTCCCCATGCCCTGTGTCCTGTGTCCCTCTGCCCATGAGTCCCTGTGTCCCCGTGTCCCTGTGCCTTGTGACCTTGTGCTCTCATGTCCCCATGCCCTGTGTCCCCATGTCCTGTGTCCCCATGTCCCTGTGCCCTGTGACCTTGTGCTCTCATGTCCCCATGCCCTGTGTCCCCATGTCCCCATGCCCTGTGTCCCCGTGCCCTGTGTCCACGTGTCCCCATGCCCTGTGTCCCTATGTCCCCATGTCCCCATGTCCCCATGTCCCCATGTCCCGTGTCCCCGTGCCCTGTGTCCACGTGTCCCCATGTCCCTGTATCCCCATGTCCCTGTGTCCCCGTGTCCCCATGTCCCCATGTCCCCGTGTCCCCATGTCCCCGTGCCTTGTGTCCCCATGTCCCCATGTCCCCATGTCCCCATGTCCCTGTGTCCCCGTGCCCTGTGTCCCCATGTTCCCATGCCCATGTCCTCGTGTCCCCGTGTCCCCGTGCCCCTGCCCTCAGCCTGGCAGTGTGTCTGGGTGCTCTGTGCCGCGGGGCTCTCCGTGGGGTCTCTGGTGTGTGAGGGCAGGTTTGGGTTATTCCATATATTGCTGTCTCCAGTGACCTCACCCACATCCTGCCTTGTAATTCAGACCATAGAATCCTGGATTTAATTTTGGGGTATCACTGTCGTGGATTTTTACCCTGTGAGTGTGCCTGTAAAGCCATTAATATTCAAATAACTTCACTAAATAAGCAACTACGCCAGAGTAGTTATTTATTACTATTTATGATGAGACTTATCTAACTGATTTCTCCAACACATTTCTCCAGAGGAAATTAGATACATTGCTTAGTTAAAGCTGTGCCAGGGAGGAAATGTTTCTATAAATACTTACCAACTCATCTGGAGAGATGATAAGTGCTGGTGTGTCCTTCACAATGTCACGTTAGTTGCTGAGTCTGGTTTAAAATTCAGTTGTTTATGTTCTCTGGGAGAAAGAAAACCCGATGGTTCTAAAGTGAGGAACAAAGTGTATGCACAAAAATCAGTCCTGAACTCTGAAGCCTTCAGTCCAAGGACTTTCTGCTTCTTTTTTCTTTTTCTTTTCTGTTAGAATCAGTGGGGAATAAATTGCCAGACAGGCTAACACGTTCTGCTGGCTTGCCTGGCACTGGAGGACACAGTGACACAAGGTGGCAGCCAGGGTGTGAGTGCCAGCAGTGTCTGTGCCCAGCCCTGGCATGCCCTGTGTCCTGTGCCCAGCTCAGAAGGAGCTCAGCAGGAGGAGGCACCGTCCTGCCCGTGGGACTGCAGCACCCTGACCTCAGGTGAGCACGAAATTCCGCTTCAGTTACATTGAAAATCGTTACAAAAAAGGGGGTTTGGTTGGGAATCAGGCTGAGGCACTGTATGAAATACATTCAGATAAGCAAATAACTTAACTAAATTTCGGATTTTGCCAGTTATGAAACCTCCTGTGGTTTCCAGCAGGCCTGGGAAACGGAAACAGCCAGCAAATAATGAAAAACATCCCTATAGGCTTCCACCTATGGATTGCATGAGGGATGCAGGGAAATTGCACCCTGGTTTACATGAAATAATACACAAAGAGCTGGGGTGGATGAGTGAGATTGGGTTTACATGGAATAATACACAGAGAGCTGGGATGAGTGAGATTGGGTTTACATGGAATAATACACAAAGAGCTGGGGTGGATGAGTGAGATTGGGTTTACATGGAATAATACACAAAGAGCTGGGGTGGATGAGTGAGGTTGGGGTCCACCCTCAGGTTCCTCCATAAGCACACAGAAGCTCTCATTTCCAGTGCCAGCCCTGTTGAAGGTGACTCTTCAGTTCTGTTGCTGCTGCAGACACAGAAGTGGCCCAGGGCACCCAGTGATTTATTTGTAAAATCTGACCATCCAGAAATAGCTGTGGGTGCCAGCAGCTCCCCAGTGCCCTGGGGGAGGTCGGTGCCCCTGCAGCTCCCCTGGGTCCCCTTGGACCCATGGCTTGATTTACTTATTTCTTTGAGTATCTTTCCTCCTGATTTTTAGAAGCTCAGATATGGACACTGCTTTGCTGCTGGCTCTGAGGTAATGGAGGTTTTTTGGCAGTTACCTTGTTATACAATCTCAGGTGTCAAGAAATCCACCTACCAGGCTGTTTCTGCCTTAATAGCTCTATTACCAGCTCCAGCTAGTTTCAGAATAAACTCTAAAAGTATGGCTAAACACATACACTGCATCTAGCTGCAGCACTTAAACAAGCTAATTCCCTCTCTTGCCTGGAAATTGTTCACTCAACAGCTCTTTGGACCTGTCAGGTTATTTTTAGCCACAATTAACACACCAACATACAATGTCATAGCATCCCTTCTGCTAACTGATGTGCCAGCACTTTTTTATTCAGTAAACTATAAAAAGTTTAATATTGGTATTTAAAGCCTTGAAGGAGAAAGCCCCCCCTAGTATTGATGCCTGATGACATTTAGTCAATGAATTAAGAAAAAAAGAACGGTGATGGTTCTGACTGTGTCCCAGCTCTTGCTAGCACTAAATTACAGAATTAATAGGCTTTTAGAAGAGACTGACACACAGTTACTGTGGTAAAGACAATTAAAAGTGGAAAGCCACTTTTCTCACCACATTTAATTTTAACTGGAGGCTTTGAGACTCAATAAATCTTTTTCTTATTTCATTCTCACATTTTCCACAGGTATTCAAGTCTTTAAGGAAAGCTCCTGCTATAAACAACTTAATTTTTTCTTTCTCTGGATCTTTTGCCATTCTCTTTTTCCCCTTCCTCAACAAGGAGTTGAGGTGCTTTCCCATCATTTTACTTTCTTTAGAATTGCTGTTACTAAGATGTGGCTCAGGTTTTATGAAAATACTGTGGGGCAGGAGTCTCAGTCCCATCTGGGATTTTTCTGGCGAATCCAGCTGGGGGGGAAAAAAAGCAGACAAAGCCACTTGTCTGCAGGAATATCTCAGGGAAGTGGGACTGGGGTGTAGAAGAGAGAGGGTTTTTTAAGAGAACAACAGCATCATGAAAATGCAAATTTTTATGACAGTTTTGGAAACAGACTCAGAAAATCTTTCTATTCCAAGAGCTTGGGCTTAATTAGCCTTTCCTTAAGATAATGGTATGAAATAGAAATTTCAACTTTGTTTAAAAGCACTTTCCTAAGAAACACTTCTTAAAGAAGTTGCTGGGAATGGATTTATCCGGGCTCAGTGGCAGTTCAGAGGAAGCTGCAGTGATTCAGCATTTCCCCACGCAGTGGCTCTCTGCAGGGTTTATTAGCACAGCCTGCTCCAGTGCCTCTTGGAAAGCTCTTGGCACAGCACACTGTCAGGCTCTTCACTTGCCAAAAATTGTTTTAGGCTCTTGTTCAGCATCAAGTTCATCGTGTGACCTTGGGGGGAAGCAGCAGGGCGCTGCTGCCTCTCCCAGTCAGCACCTTCAGGGCAGTTTCCTGGGGGAGATGAGCAGTGAGTGAGCCCATCTCCTGCCTGGGAGCGTGGTGGTCCTGCTTGGGGAGGGGTCCACTCCTGCGAGCAGCCTGGGGGCTGCAGAGCTCAGCGTGGGGAGCTTAACGCAGATACCCCCCCTTTAGCAGTTTGAACAGGACTCATTCTGATGGCAGCTCTGGTAGAGGAGCAGGACTCGGGAAGACAGGAGAGCTTGGAGTCCTTCCCTGCCTGCTCCTTCTGACAGGAGCATCATGACTTGTGGTTGTCTTCCACCTTCCCAGCTCGCTGCCACTGCAGGTGTGCCCTGAGCCGCTGCAGAGCAGCTTCCCTGGCCTGCAGAGGCAGCACATTAATGCCAGGTGACATTTATACCTCCCTCCCCGCTGACTTAACATCGTCTGAGTGGTTCAGTGTCTGCACACAGATTGATGGAGCAAATTACCCTTGCGGAGGACCCGTGTCTCTCTGACTGCAGGGATTTGGGTGACTAATTTCAGCCTGACACTTCCCTTGCCAAGGCAGCAGCACTGAGACGTGTCCTGGCCGTGCCCTGCCGCCGCTCCCCAATTGACTGGCTGATGGATGGCCTGGCCTTGGCCCTGGCAGCAGTGCTGATGGATGCACTGCCCGGCTCTGTGCTGGGCTGGCCAGCACCTGGCACAGTGTGCTCTGCCTGCTGCTCCCAGGCACCTCGCCCCCCTCAGACAGCCCCAGTCCCTTGGGGACCGTGGCAGGAGGCTCTGGTGGCCAAGGGGTTAAAGAGCTCCACAGCCAGGGCCCTGTGGTTATAGTCAATCCCTGTGTGATGCTGCCAGTGAGGGTGAAATGAACTCGCAGTAGCTGAAAGCAAGATAGGTTAATTAAAAACCTTGATCAAAGCATCATAAACCGCATAAAAGGTTCCATCTTTTAATTATTTCTAAATGGTCTCTCAGGCAGGATGGCCAACAAGAAGTCCCTGTTCCCAGGGCCTGTGAGCTATGCAATTGTGTCATCATGTCAGACTCAGTTATCACTTGCTGTCCAAACGAGAGAAAGGCACAGCCCAGGATGGTCCCTGTTGAGGATGAAAACGAGGAGCTGGTGATGGCTGGTTAGCGCTGGTGAGAGGGGTCAGGGGGAGCTGCACACCCCCTCCCAGCTGGGGTGAGCCCGGCCGAGCTGGCCTCGCATCCAGCAGTGTCTCAGCCCCGAATCCCACACCGAGGCAATGAGGTTTCAGCACCTGCTGGGGGTTTGTGTTCTCACAAGCACTGTGTGCTGTGGAGTGAAATCAAAGCAGTCAGCCCAGCAGCAGAGTGTCCAGCTCCGTGTTTGAGCCAAAGCAGCTGCCTGTGCTTCCCAGCACACTCTGGCATTCAGCAGGGAGTGCCAGGGCTGGTGGCAGCTCTGACTTTGGGAGGGCAGAGGGCACAGCTGTGGTTATCCAAGGAGGATTTCAGTGGGAATTTTAGCTTACAACTGGTAATTCTGCACTTTGTGTAGGATAGCTGGGAGACGTAAATTCAAGTCCTCCCCACCAGAGCGTGGTGTCCAGGCACAGGGACCATGGGTGTCAGTGCAGGGATGTGCTGTAGTGAGAACAGCAAAGGTTCTTCCAAATCCCTCCTCCTGGCACGTGAAATGGGACCAGAGTAGCATGTGCTTCCTCCTGCCCTTTGGCTTTTGTATCTTTCTGTGCTGTCAGAGGGATGTCTTTACCATACATTATACACTTAGAAAATGACAGGCCCGTAATGCTGACTGAAGGCAGTTATATGGTGGTGTGAATACAAATAAATAGCATTTCCAGTGCAATACTGGGATAGTCTGGGCTGTCTTGGGTGGGGTACTGCAATTGCAAAGACTTCCTTTCTTGTGTGGATTTTGGATTTCATGCAAACATTGTTTCTATCCTGTTATTTAGCCCCTGGGATAGGATTTTTGAGGTACAATGAGGATTTTTGAGGTTCTTGTGTAAAAGCCCAGGTCTGATCCAGCAGTGTTCCTTTCCTGTCCTGTGGTTTTGCTGTGAGAGGGGGAAGCAGTGCTGGAGAAAAGAGCAGCACACGCTTGCACAGCTAATGAGAGCAGGGTGTGAAGGCGTGCTGGCTTCCCTTCCCACCAGCAGCGATGGACTGCGCAGCGAGCTGCGGCTCGGGAGCTGTGGAGGTGTCACACACGGGCTGCTCATCCTCATCTGCTGCAGGAGCAGCCCAGCGCCTCTCCCTGAGCACAGAGAGGGACAAGGGGACCTCGGGAGAGGATCTGGGTGGCCGTGGGCTGTGGCCACCGTGGCTCTGGGGCCAGCCAGGAGGGAGGGGAGGCTGGAGCGTCTCAGCAGCGCGAGGGGCCGGGGTCGCTCCTGGGGCAGCTCTGGGAACCCACCCCAGCAGCTCACACTGCCTTTGGAGGCCTGGGGGCTGCTCACAGCATCCTGCCAGGAACTGCCTTCAAGTGGCCCCCTGAGCTCTCTCAATTAATTAGTTTGATGAGGAGCGGGGTTAGTTACCAAGCACATGAGCCTCAGAAGCCAAGTCACAGAGCAGCTGTGAACTGGTTTGTGCTCCTAGGCCAGCACAGCCAGGGCTGCTCTGCATCTCCCACATGCTTCAGCAGTCTCGTGCCCTTTTCCCTTTCTTTCCCATCAAATCCCATTCCCTGGGCTGCTCTCCCTCCTCCTCCAGGGCTGCAGAGGACAGCTTTTCCCACTTCCAGTATGGTTCTGCACAGCCCACTCACCTCTCCGTGTCACTGTGATCTGTGTTACAGAGACATCAAAGCACAGCATCCTCCGGGAAAAAGGAGAGATAAAGGGAGAAGAAAATGTTCCAGAAGCAGCAACAAGCTGGAGTTGTGTTCAGCCCCTTTTGGAACAATAATCTCCCCGGAGGTGTGCTGGGCGCTCCAGCGGCGCGCAGCGGGCGAGCCGGGGTCTGTGCGCAGCGTAATCTGATCATGCTCTCTGTGGATAAGAAACACAGCTTCGTGCTTTTCACCTTCCAGGAAAGAGATTTATTATGAAAATCAGGTCCCTGCCTCAGAGCACACAAAAAACAGTTGGCTTCATAACCTTGGGGAAAAAAGATAAATAAAGAAATCCCCTGAGACATGTGTGAGAACTGAGTAAGTATTAAAACGTATGTTGGAACATATTGATCCCTGAAAGCCTCCTGCAGCAGACATGAATCTTTTTCATTTCCAGCCCCACTGATAGTTTAATGAGGATGGTGTGTGCCACTCACCTGGATCAATCATTTATGCAGATTCCTGCCAAGCCCCCCCACAGGCCCTGTCTCAACCCAGCAAAGAAGAGCGTGCCACGTTTCAGCTGAGTGATGTCAAACTCTGCAGGGAGCTGAGCACAGCCCTGGCCAGGCATCCTGTCCCAGGCTCCAAGGGCTGCCACCTTCGTCAGGCCAGAGGGACATTCCAGGAGCTGTGATCTGACTGTGGATCAGCATCCCTCCTGCTGCCCCAGGGACACCTGGCTTGGTGTGAGCAGAGTGCCTGAAATGGACCCTTTCATTCCTGTCTCAGGTACACCAGATCTTTCCTTTTCTCCTCTCAAAGTGTATGTGTAATAAATAGCACAGGCCTAGGAGGACGAAAAGATGAATCACAGCTATGAAAATATTTGACTATATTTTAAGCAGGACTCCCAGCAGGTACAACCATAGCCATGTACCACTGACGTGCTTCAGAGGCATCAAAAGACTGGTTTTTCCACCACTGAGTTACCGTTAATTATTCCTAAAATAAACTGCTACCATGCAGCATTAATTCAGAAGAAACTGTAAGTTCCTTGCTATTTTCTACGGCTTGTTTTCACAATGAATTAATGGGAGTTAATTTAGCAGTTCACAACAAACAGGACCACTGCAGGAATACAAACTAGGTGTTGCTTCCTGAATTCTTCCTCCCTCTTGTTAGTGCTCCTCTTCGACTTTTATTAGATGTAGTACAAAAGGTCTTAGTCTGGCAGAGAGTAAATGTGCTGGAAAGGCAAAAATCGGGAAAAAATAGTGCATGATTTTCTCCTCTTGTGGATATTAACAGTTTGGCACAGATACACTGCTCTGACAGTGGAAAAGAATGGTAAAAAATGGGCTCTAATTCTTTGCAGTATGTTAATATTAGTATCTGTGAACCGTGTTGGTGTTGTCATGTCTGTGTAGCATGTCCTTTGTCCAAGACCAATCCCAGTTTTCTGGAGCAAGAACCATTTCAGCCCACAGGTGGCACTTTGACTGTCAATCACTTCCTCTAAAAATGCAAGAGATTTTAGTCCTCACTGAGATGGAAAACTAAAATAAGCAATTTGGAAAGCATTCTGCATCTTGGAGAGGCTTTCTATAATTTATTCAAACTCAGCTTGAAATAGAGAAACGGTTTTACCTCCAGAAGCATCCAAAAATACATTGTGTCAGCAAGTGCATTGTGTAGGAAAATCACCAAATCTTCAAAAGCTGGAGGTCGAGGTGCCTGTGCTGACAAAGGGCTCGTTTGCAGCTGCAGCTCCTGTGCATGCCTGTGCCAGCCAGCTGCTCAGCAGTGTTGGGGTCCAGCTGGTGGGTGGCCAAGAGGCTCTTCAACAGCAGTGTCCCCACGGCCAGATGTGAATTCTGGGATCCCCCTCAGCCAGTGCAGAAGCTGTAGGGGTGCACAGAGGCTCCTTGGGCGTTCCAGGAGAGTAGGATGCTCCTGCCTCCTGCCTCAGGCTTCTCTCTCTGTGGTGCCAGAGATGGGAGCTGATTTTTACCGCATTGGCATCTGCTCTAGGAGGTCACAAGGGATGGGAGGAAACAGTCCCAGGCTGTGCCAGGGGAGGTTTGGACTGGATACTGGAGAAAATTTCTGCATGGAGAGGGTGTGCAGCCCTGCAGGTTGCCCAGGGCAGTGCTGGAGTCCCCACTCCTGAGCAGGTTTGAGACATGCAGGTGTGGTGCCTGGGACAGGGTTTAGTGCTGGCCCTGGCAGTGCTGGGGGCTGTTGGCCTTGGGGGTCTTAAGTGTCTTTCCAGCCTCCTTAACTCTGTGATTCCATAAAGCTGTTGCTTGCTTTTTCCTTTGAAGGTGCTTCTATCCTTCTGGGAGACCATGAGTGGAGCACGGTGGGGTTTCGTTTCCACCAGGGACAAAGCAAGTCAGCCCTGGAAACGCTGCCTGCGTGGTTTGGAGATCTGTGGCAGCAGTTGTAGAGACTGGGGGTGGGGAGAACGGCACACAGAGAAAATTTCATTCAAGCAATTAAGGAATCACCACACTTTTGTGATTAACTTCTTGTTCCCAGGCTGAAGGCAGGAGCTGTTAGTGGGGGCATTGCTATTCCATACCTGACACGAACAATGGGAATATTTGTTCTGCCCGGGAGGATTACACCTTCCATTAATCTAAGTTTTATTGAAAGTTTAAATAACAGACAGACAAAATTTGATCAATTAGCAGTGTAATTCCAAGGAGATGTCACAGTGAAATTAAATCTCAAGCATTTTTAATGCAAAGAAACTTAGGAGCTCCCTCCAGTTTTCTTTCTCGGTACAGTGTTTAGATTTTAATTGAAAGTTTATTCTGCTTTCTGCATCTTCTAGTAAATTTTAATTTCAGAGTGTAATGAGAACAGTTTTCTATTACAGTGTTTGTTGCATTTCACAGATAGATCCAAGATGCCTCATAAATGAAGAAAACAAACAGGTTTGTGTAGGATCCACTAGCCATGGAAATCTCCAGAAGAAAAGAGATTTACGTGGGGAGAAGGAGAGGGAATTGGTGCTGTGGTGAGGAAGGATGCCTGGGGGAGCCAGGTGGGTGTGAATTCTGTTCCCACACCCTGGGGCTCTCTCTCTCGGGGCTCCTTCAGGTCCCAGCAGGGCCAGGCTGCCGGGGCTGTTCTCGTGGGATGAGCAGACAAAGCTGCTCCCCGAGCCCACCCCAGCCCTGCTGCTCCTCTGCTTCCCAGCTGCCGTGGTCCCTTCCTGCACCCTGCCACTTCGGCTTTCATTTCCTTATGTAATTTCTCTGTCCCCAGTGAAGTGTTGTTGCCATCATCACTGCTCCACATGTCTTCCATTTTTCTTATCATAAATGTCATTCTCATGCTGCAAATACCCCAAGTGCCACAACCTTCCTGTGAATCTATCTCAGTGCTATCTTTGGAGACATACCTCATCTGAGAAGAAGTAATACTGAAAATAGCTGTATATTTTTGGATGTATATTTTTGTCTGGATGGATGTCAGGATCAGCTTATCGGGCAGCTGAAGCAGTGCAAATCCCCAGTCTGCACAGGTCTAGTTTTGTTTACACAGTAAGAGTTTCTGGTCAAACCTGGGCCTTGATACCCTTACAAAAAGCTTCCCAAAAGTGACAAAGACTCCAGATTTGGCAGAAGACACTGGTGAGGAGAGGTTTCTCAGCGACAGTGCAGGCACAGAGCACAGCTGCAGGACTGAGCTGCTGGCTGTGCAGCAGTTCACTCTGGACTGTTCCCCTGCCTGTCACCATCAGGTGAGAAACACCAGGAGGAACTGGTGCTTGTGGAAATTAGCAGACGAGGCTGCACGTTCCCAACATCTGATTATCTGTAACTGTTCCTCCCAAGCCAATCTGTTTGCGAATCCTGGGGCACCAGGCAGCTGGAGCCCTGGTGGGGCACACCAGCTCTCTGTGGCATAATCATGCCTGGGAGGTGAGGATTTGGGGTTTCTCACAAAGTAATTTTTCTGAGTAAAAGCAGTGATTAACCTTGCTTCAGTCACGAGCAGCAGTATTTAAAACAACAACAAAAAAAAAGGCAGCTGAGAGCTGCCTGCAGCTTGGCTCGGGCAGCCGCTCCTCCATATGGCGTGTGAAATGCCAGCACATGAAATTAACTCTCATAAATAAGTAATAAGGGCTGGTTTGCCCAGATCTGGATGGGCTGTTCCTGTGGAACACAGCCCTTAGCTGTGGCATCAGTGTAACTGCAGGTGTTGGAGGCCACGGAGCTCCAACAAAACGTGTATTCTAGGGAGAGCTTGGAAGGGAAAATCCACTCTGGGAAGGGGCCAGCATTCCAGCCTCATGCCAGGATGCTCAAGGAGGAGTGCCTGTTTGTGTTTTCGGAATTGAATATTTCAGTTTTCTGACACTTTCCACAAGTCAGGCTCAAGTGAAATTATATTTTGTTCAAACAGAGCCTTTGAAGTAACCAAAATTTTCCCTTGCAGAGGACTCCTTGTATGGGAGCTCTTTTTCCTCTCCAGAACGTGAGGAAATTTGAAATAATGGAACTTCCTCTGAAAAAACAGAAAGATTTGTGCCACATCACATATCTCATGTAATCTTTCACTGACAGCACAGGGAGTTCAGACTGAAAGCCCTATTCCTGCTAGAGCAGAAATTCAGCATGCAAGAAGGTGGCAGGATTTTAAGTAGAACTCAAGGACTTAGAGTTGCCCATCTCTGACAAAAAAAAAAAAAAAAAAAAAAATTAAACACAAATAGTGAAATTCTCACAGTTTAAATAAGTTTTTTCCTGTCCTGAAGGTAAAATACAACACTGAAACTGCCAGGAGCAGTTTTTTTGGTTTGTGGTTGCAGCATGGCCCTTTCTGACCTTTGGACATATGCCATGAATGCTTTAATCCTGGCAAGGGTTTTATCTTAAACAGATACAATGAAGGATCTGAGAAGTAGGTCAGGGGACATGAGAGGCTGTTTGATTCATCGTGAGCTGTGTGCACAGCACGGCTTGCAAGCCTGAAATGTCATCACTGGGGTGCAGTGAAGCTGCTGTTTTGTTTTAGAAAATAGTCAAATGGGTGGTTAGCAGGAGAAAGGAGAGGGGAAGGACTGGGTTTCTGGGGACCAAGCACCATTTGAGGCAGGAGCCCAGCACCAGGAGCAGGTGCTTGTGCTTTGGGGGGCAGCAGCCCCAGTGTGCCAGCAGCAGCCAGAGGTGCAGGTGAGGCTCTGGGCTGGCAGACGTGGGAACAGGAGAGCTGCAGCTGGCAGAGCACTGCTTGGGGACACTCCTGAGAGCCTTTCCAAGTACTGAGGATATTTTTTTCCCGGTGCTTTACCATCCTGTGTCTGTCCACGGTGCAGAGTTTTCATTTCTTTTAATGGTTCTCAAGAAATTATTGAGAAATAAAAATGCATTTCAAAGTTATCTTCAAGGCTTACTGTGGTTCAGATGGTTTCTTTAAATCCACAGTGCATATGCTATTTTTCAGAGCTTTACTGGTCCCCAAATGATTGTAATGGATTATTGACTGGCTTTACTGGGGCCTTGGGAGTTTAGAAAGGAGAAAAGTAACTTAGCAAGGGAAAACCCTTTAAATATATATATACTCGAAAGTTTTTAAAGTTCATCTAATCTGTCTCTAGTTTTGGTATTTATAAACCAGACGCTGTCATCAAGGTTAACAGCACTTTCCTGGTCTGGGAATGTTGCAGCAGCCAGTTGACTGGAGCTCCTTCGTGCCTTAAGAAAAAGAAACCCACCCATCCCACAGGGCTGCTGCACCCCTCAGTCTGCTGGAATCCCTGCCAGGGGCAGAGCCTGGCCTCACAGCACTTCCCTGCCATTCCCTGGGACCCTGAAACGTCCATGTAGCAGCATTAATGCAAGATGGATATAGCTCCATACCCTGGATCTGCTTAACCTGATAAATAGTTTCAGTTAATGGACAGCAAAAGGAATGATGCTCAGTAAATTTGATTTTATGAGCCTTTCACTTATTTGCTGTGCCCATTAGGTCGGAAGTTAGGTAATGGTGAGTGCCCATTAGTGCATTAGCTCAGTGATGAGGGAGCTGTGTTGGAAAAAAAGAAAATGGTGGAAAGCCCCCTGAAGGCAGGTGTGTTCAGTAAAGCTGTGTTCGTTAGTGGTGGCTGTAGTGGACACTGAGCTGCAGGGGCATCAGGGTTGGTTCAGGTGGGCAGAACAGCCCCCTGAGCCCCCTCCTCCCCCAGAGCACTTGGTCCCTGTTTCTGCTGCCACAGGGGCTGTGGGCAGGGATGGGGCTGCTCCTGTGCTCCTGTCCCAGGAGAGTCCCTGGGAGTGCTGGGCAGCCTGGGCTGCTCCTCCACTCACAAATGCATGACCCAGCTTGTAACAGCCACAGAAACCATTTCACTGACAACCCTTTCTTTTACTCACTTCCTTTGAATTTTTTTTCTCTGCCCAGGCAAATTAGTTTTTAAAATCTCTTTTCCCCGTTTCTTCGTTACCCTGGGATTATTTACACAGCCCACAAAAAGCTGTTTACTCTTCTGGGTAATTCAGTGAACATTCAGTTGCTTTGAATTAATATGCAGCATTGTTCCAAGTGCTGGCAATTTAGTGGTAATTGGAACATCTCCTTACCCTGGAAAAAACATCCAGCCTCCCAAGTTAGTTTTCACGAGTGGCATTAATGCAGCAAGAGAGCAAAATTCCCTTGTTTGTGTGCTAGCAAGGAAATATGGGGCTTGTTAGCAATTACAAGGTACATTTCTTGCCCTCAGTTGCTGATGGTGCTCCTCTGCAGCTGCTCGGGGTGACTGGAGTGTGTCCCACCCTGCCAGGGCAGGTCCCTGCTGTGGCGATGGAGCAGCCTGCCCATGAGGTGCTACAGGTGCTGGAAGTGGGTTTGGTGGGTAAGAGGGGTTTGCAGCAGGCTGGGGAGGAGCAGGGCACAGAGAACCTTTCCAGCAGCGCTTTGCTCTCGGCTGGGTCACACCAGGGGTCTGTGCTTTGTTGTGGGCCAGGTGAGCCCTGCAGAGAGCTTTGCTGCAGGTTTGGCAGGGATGCAGTGCCTGCTGAGTTGCAGCACCCTGGCCCAGCTGGGGCTGAGTTCAGCCCAGGAGCAGCCCCAGCCCATCACAGGCTTTCCATCTCGGTCTGCTTGCAGCCCTCTCTGTGAGGCTGGCAGAAAATGGGATCTGTGTGCTCTGCTGCCTGCTCCCTTCCCCGATTTGGTTCTGCTTACGCGGGCTACTTAGGATGCTAACACATCTCCAGGGAAGAAACTTTCTCCAGCAGTGGAAACAGCTTTGTTAGGGACTGAAGACGGGGAAAGAGACAATAAGTTGCATTTGTTTGACAGTTTTGAGGTCCAAGTGGGAGTGTTTGAATCTGTGCAAGCCAAAGTGAGTGTTCTGTGCCTTTCAGAGCTTTTTCTTCCCTTTTTTTGCCCTGGGGTAAACTTTTCACCCCATGTGTAACCTCCTGCCCAGGCAGGACATGGGGCTCAGCCAGAAGGGAAGACAAAATGTTCTGGGGTTAGTTAGACTCCCAGGCTGGACGTGGCTGTGAGAGCAGCTCTCCTGTGGGATGACAAGTCTCAGAGCAGCAGGGCCCTCCAGCAGCCTCTCCTGCTCTCAAGACATCCTTTCTCTCATCACATTCACTGTAGAACTGGAAAACATAATGATGAAAATAGTTTTGTTGATTTTTATGCTTTGCTTTTGACCTGTGAAAATGTGTTTACAACAGGGTTTGCGTTAACACCCTGAGAATAAACAAGTATGAATATGGCACTGATCATGCTAGCACAAAAATTAATGTTGCATGTGCAACGTTAAATACCGCTCAAGAATTTAATTTAATTAGGGAGTCAGTCCTTATGGAAGCCAGCAAGCTGACAGCCAGAGAGCTGAAATCTCCTGGCCACGGCAAGGGCTGAGCACACAGGATGTCCCTGGGAGCTGCTGCGTGGGGCACACCTGGCCCTGCTGGCACGGGGACAGGGCAGGGTGCCTGGGCTGCCAGCCCTGTCCTTGTCTGGTGAGCAGGGACTGCAGTGACAGAAGCCACCTTTAGGGACCCAGGCTGGGACAATAGCTTCACAAAGTCTCTGGGTGAAAACAGCTCCCAGTCTAGAACCGACCTGGGACAATGCAAACCCACAATCCAGAGAAGAAATCCTTCAGAACTGCTTATGAGGCTCTTGAGCTAACAAGTACACTCCAGACTCCTTGACACCTGCTCAGAGAGGCAGCAGAGCTCAGGGGCTGCCAAAGAGGTTCCTCCATCCCCCTGCTCTACACAGCCCCTCTGCAAGCCCCCAGGGGCTATGGCTCTGTCTCAGCCCCTGGGCTCTCCTGCAGGGTGGTCCTGCCACAGCTGCAGCTCCACAGTGCTGCCCTGGGCCTCAGCCACGGAGGGATGTGGGCTTGGGACAGTCCCAGAGAGCTCAGATGAGGAGCCATGTCCTCCCCCCACCCAGCACAGCCCTTGCCCCCCGAGACTGCGTTCACAGAGGGAGATTAATGCAGTCTTTGGGAGAGCACATTGACTGAGACATCCTATTTACAGAGAGCTTCCTAGGGGTGTCCTCAGGAGAGCAGGCATCCAGACAGCGTAGAGTGTGCTGTTAGTAATGTAAAAGGACACTGTTACTTGTATTGCATCACTGAACTCCATTATGTCTTTATTCACCTTGTTCCCAGGACAAGTGCAGCTCCCTGTGAAGCCAGCAGCCACTGGCAGGTCAGCAGTGCAGGTTTTATGCCAGGAAGGAAACAGGCTGCTCTGAACCCCAGCAGTTTGTGGCTGACAGTGCCACTGACTCAGCATGAGCCCCCTGCTCAGCTCCACAGCAGCCCTGGCTCCTCACTGGCCACCCTGGCACTGCCAGCAAAGCCACCTGAGCTGGCAAGGACAGGAGTGCCCTTGGCAGGGACGGGGCCACTGTCAGGATCTTATCCTCATGCCAAGCTCTTTCTCCTCTGCCAGTTTTCAGTGGAGCTTTCCCTACACATCCCCGTGCCTGCTTGTTGCTGGAGCTCGTCACAAGCACGGGGGTCTCTGCTGGTCGCTTGGTCCCTGTCTCCTCCCGGAGCAGGTCCTGGCTGTGGGGCAGTCTGGGGGCAGGGCTGGCACCCCCTCACCCATTCCTTGCAGGTCTCGGGTCCCTTGGCAGAGCTCTGCAAGCAGCTGCTTCCCTCTCTCCCTGCATTGAGATTAATGCTCGAACAGCAGTTGTCCCATCCATCTCGCTGGGAGGCTTCCTCCAAACAAATAGCAGGAGGAGGTGGCATCTATTTGGGAATGACAGGACTTCAATCTATTTATTCCACAGGTAACTGCTGTCCCTGGAATGTCAGACTGGCTCTTCATCTTCCCCGGGCTGGGTGCGAGCGCGTGTGGCGGGTGCAGCCCGCCTCCCTTCATTTGCAAGGAAAAAGAGTCGCTGAGATTGATTGCACAATTGAATATGCAGCATGGTAAACAGTTATTTGGAAATTATTGTTTGTGTTTAATTATGACATACAGAAGTTTAACAGTCATAAATTTTTCATTGGAGTTGGAACGCGAGTGTAAGCTTTAGCGTGCACCAAGGAGCACAAACGAGCACTTGCCACAGCCCAGCTCTGGGGCAGAGCCCCACGCTGCTCAGGGGCATCCCCTCCTCAGCATCGTGGGCCAGGGCTGCCAGTGAGCTGGGAATGCTTAGAGACCAGAGATTGCTTGTTTCTGCTTGGTCTGTTCTCTGTGTAAAGTCCCCAAGGCAGAGCAGAGGCTGTAACAGGCAGCCAGGGCTTCACTGCCCCTTACACTTTTGGGGTGCAGCCAGGGTGGGGAAGGGCCTGAGGGTGTCACCTCCAACCTGCCAAAACAGGAAAACTTTCTGGTTTCATGAAAGTGCCTTGTCAGTACTTCTGCTGCTGGCAGCAATTCTTTCCAACAATTATCAGATTAATTTTTCCCATCTTTTCTCTCTTTTTATTCCTTTCTTATCTCTTTCTTCTCCTTCCCCCAGCACATGCACACAGACACATGCTGTAGCTCTTGGCAGTTGAAGAAAATGAAAAATAGATATGTAGAGAGGAAAAAAGTTGAACAGCAAGAAAAGATGTGCTGGAAAAAAGGGTGGTAATAAAGGAATCTAATTAAAATGGAAAATTTCTGTGGGAAAAGGAAGTGGTGTTGGGGGAGGCAGAGGTAGAACATTGTTTCTACCCAGCCTGCTCTTTTGGAGGAAGAAGCAGCATTTCCCAGCTGATTAAAAGCTGCTATGGTAATGACAGCTGAGTATTTTTCTGTCTTTGTATTTCTGAAGCAAATCTCTCGTGGGACAAAACATATCACTCAGTGAGTTGCATAAGGTTTAATTCTGTGTTGGGCAAAGAACAAACCGTGTCTGTGTTGAACTGTTCACACGTGAGCAGAAAGGTGAGCACACGTTTTCTGAGCACCCCCTTGTGCCTCCAGAGACGACAGTTTTGGGGAGGATTTTAGGGAGAGATAAGAGTCCAGAGGGTCTTGTGACTGTTTCAGGGATTAGCAAACGGGGTATGGATATCTCAAAATAGATGTGCAGGAAGGGCTGACCTGTAGCTGAGGGATGTGTCTGAGCAGTGCTGACCTCGCCATCAGCGCTCGAGATGAAATATCTCCGCAGAGGAGTTCTGTTTGTGATGTTCTCGAGCTCTTTTAGCAGTGATCGTAGCCAGGGGAGCTGTGATTTACTCACAATGGCAGAGGTGTCCTCGGTGTCCCTGGGCAGGGGGAGGGCAAGGGGTCGCAGCAGAGGGGACGTGTCCTGCAGCCAGGTCATGGCCGCGTTGGCTCTGATGGCTGAGCTGGCAATAAGGGACTCACTTCTTCAACAGAGAGCGGCCCAGACACCTCACACCGGGGCAGGGGTGCTGTTTGGATAAATGGCTGTTTGTATTTCTGCATATTGTGACTCTGTGTAGCTGTCAAATGACCCACGGCTAATCTTACTGATTGAGGCATTCCTTTGTTCCTTGACTGATAAGGGTGACAGGGGAATCTGTGGCCATTTGGGACAATGAATCAGTTCTGGGAAAACAAATTCTCCAAAGAGGAAACTGTGGGTGGGAAGCAGCAATGTGGGATGTGGGGTGGGAGTGCTAAACCAGAGATGTGGCAGTGGGAATGGCTTTCCTGGGCTCTGCCTTAAGATTATTCCTTGCTGTCTGTCACTTGGTCCTCTTCCCATGTTCTGGTTTGAAGGACACCTTTGAAATGAGTGATGAGCCATAATGAGTAAATAAATGCAAATTAATCAAAGATGACACTAGAAATTATATGAAACATAATTTCTTTGGCACCGTGTTCCAGCGCAGGGGGGTCTGTGTGTGTGTACACAGGCACAGGAACATGAGCCATCCCTGTTCATCCTTACAGTGCTCACAAAAGGCTTCACAAACAGGAGCACTAACAGCTCCCACACAGAGGTGTGGGTGACCTTCACCTGGGGCTCTGCAGCTGGGTTCAGAAGCCATTGGTTTGCTTGCTGTCTGTCAATTTTCTTTTTTCAGGTCCAATCATGAGTGCAGCAGCAGTGGCAGTGGCAGCAGTTCCCAGCGAGCAGCAGAGCCCGAGGAGCAGGAGGTGACGGTGAGATGCACCTGAGCTGGGTTGGGGGAAGAGGGGAGAAGGGGGGAAAGGAGGAGGAATGTGCTGCTCAGGCTGTATAGCTGCAGTGGAAGGGAAATGCTGTTAAAGAATTGGGTGTGGTTCTGAAAACCCAGACTGGGGGTATCTCATCTTGGAATGCAATTACATTCCTGTAGAGTCTTTCACTGGCGTGATGCTGGCTGTGGAGGTGAGCACCAGAGACCTTCTGCCCACGACTTTGCAGAATTCAGGCAGCTTGTGAGTGAGCAGTGATGCATGAATAACCAAGAGAGAACGTGCATCTTTTCATCAGCATTCATGCTAGATCTGTGTCCTGAGAGGAGAGCAGTGTTTGGGTCACAGGACAGGGCAGCGGGACCCTTAAATCCCACGGGAAATTAAAACGAAAGAAGCAGTGATATTGAGAACTTCCCCAGTCACTGTATCGCAGTTGTTCTCTGTTACAAACACCACCTTGAGCTCTTGCAGGTCCAATAAAGAGAAAAGTAAAATGAAAATATTGTAATGGGTTAGAAAATGAAGAACAAGACAGCTCCATTCAGCATGAGTCTGCGACATGTCAGAACTGGCAAAATGTTTCACTGTGCAAGTTATTGAAAATGAAGAACTGGTGTGCAGTGTGAGGTGTGGTGGTGACTGGTTGTGTTGGGTCAGCCCGAGCCAGGCGTCAGCCCACGCTGACAGGGCAGGAGCCGCGGCCGTCGCGACCACGCTCAGAACTGATTTCACTGCTCTGCTAAAATAAATACCTCAGTTCTGCCAAAACATATTAAAGGTAAAATGAGTCACCACTAAGGCAAACAGAAGGAAAATCCCCTTGGAGGAAGCGAGCACAAACATAACTAAGAGCAGTAGATTAAAGATTGAAATATCAACTGCAGATGACAGACAAACTTTTTCTTAGTGATTTCCCAGAGGAAAAGCATTTTGCGTCTTTTTGACTGTGCACTCTGCCTTCCCCTTGCAGCACCTCACACTGCCCTCACAGCCTGAGCCCTGAGAGCTCTGGGCTTTATTTGCCAAAGCTCCATCCCCATGTCCTGCTGGGTGTGACTGTACCCATACCCATATAAAGTGTGTGTGTGTTTCTAGAACAGTTACACCCTTTTATTTATTTATTTTATTTTTTGGCTATGTGTATGCACACTGCACAGCGAATGGGCTGTCCCCTGCAGTCAGGGGGTGCAGGGTGTGCCCACACAGGCCCTGTGCTGGCACTGTCCCTGCTGCCACTCCCGCACACCCCGAGCTGTTTGTGCCCTCTGCCAGGGGAGCCCTGGCTGCTGAGTCACTCCTTTCTGGGTAAATACCAGGGTAAAAAGACATGACATTTTCTGGGCCGTTCTTCTGTATTAATAAGATTCCAGCTACAGGGTGACCTTTTCACAAAGGATTTGTAAATGCCAAAAGCTGCATAAAAATCTCTCTTTCTCAGGCAAACAGAGGCATCATAACTTTGCATTTATTTCTTAAGTGGTGTTTTCCTGTCTTTCCCCTTTTGATCATCTATTTCCCCTGAATGGATGCAGTGACAGCTGTACCTCCAACAGCAGCTGTGAAGGGGAATGAGGGAAAATCGGTGATTGAATCTGCTCAGGGGATCATTCTGCTCAAGGGGCTGAATGGATGAAAACAAACAGGGCAGGGATGATGCCCCAGCAGGGAGGGATCAGCCTCTGCAGGAGAGGGACCACAGAGCTTGGGCTTGGGCAGGGGGGAGCGCTGGGTGCCAGTCCCAGTTTGTGCAAGGGGGGCTTGCACTGTTTCTTGCACTGAGCCTCGTGCACACACAGAGAACAGGAAAATCAGCACCAACCAACCACCCAAGGCTTTTGTGTTACATTGCATTTAGGGTATTTGATTTATCAAATAAATGCTGCCTTTGCAGCAGGCTTTACACCCTCTTTGGGTGTATTTCCAAACACAGGAAAAGGCCATAGGAAAATAACAACAGCCAAACAAAAACCCAACAGAACAAAAGGCTTATGACTTTACTGATGGAAAGCTGAGGCTTCATCCAAGAGCAGGGCACTGGAATACACCCCCACCACCACCCTGCATTGTGTCAAAGGCCCCCAGGGCATGGACCTTGCCTGACCTCTTTGGTCAGGCTTTGGGTGAGCTTAGAGTCCCTGAAAATCACTGCATTGCCTTAATTAATGCATTGTGTAAGGAAACTCTTGTACCTTTCTGTTTCACCTCCATGGTTACCTTTTTCCTTTGTCCTCTTTCTGCATTTCTCAAGTCTTTTCATCACCAACTAACATAATTTAATTCCTTCTCCCTTTTGCAAGAGTCCAGAGCCTGCACTTGTCACTGGCAAGTGTTCAACTTTTCCTAAACTGCGGCTTAAAAAGGAAAAATTGAGTCTGGATCTGAGTCAAATGCAAGTTTCATACTTTAATGTTTTATCACCTCAAAATATCATTCTGCTTTTAATTTCCTGAGTGATTCTTGTGCCCAGCTCAGCAAATGCTGATACACTCCCCCAATTCCCACTCTGCTTCCTCCCAGTTTTTCTCCTTTTCCCTCCCATTTCCATGAGAAGTGTATGATCAAAAGGAGCAACAAACTGTAGGTGGGTTCCTAAGGTGTCACCTCAAATATTGAGGGTTGATAGGAAGCAGGAAATATGTCCACGATTGAATAGGAATATATGCCAGGTGGAAATGAAACCAGCAGAAACTCATCCCTGATGTCCTGGTGAATTACCTGGAAGTCAGCGTGTCAGTTGTCTGAACTCCAGACCAGGCTCTTCAGTGAAGCCAGGACAAACCTTCCCCTGATGGCTCCTTCTGTGGTGTTACCCTTAGAACTTTTGCATCGCAGCCCAGGTTCCCCTCCAGCAGCACACAGCATTGCTTCTCGTTCTGCTGCACTGACTAATGAGAGTAATTGGTCTCTGTCCTCTTCATAATGTCCCTCTAAGTATTTGTAAAGAGTTATCATGGCTCCCTCCAGTCCTCTTTTCCCTTCACATAAAGATTCTCAATTCATTTTAATTCGTCCTCCCTGACCCTCCCTCCCACTCCCACTTTATATATCAAATAATGGAACCCAATTACCTTGCAGACATTGCACATTGGGAGGAGAGAATGGAGGAGGGGACAGCAGAGTGCTCCCGAAAGACAGCTGTGAGTTCTGCAGTGCCCAGCAGCTCGCACTGTGTGCCCAGCACTGTTCAGGCTCAGCAGCTCTCTGCAGCCTGCTCAGGAGCCAGCCTGGCACAGCTGGGCACAGCTGGGCATGCTGGGCACTGCTGGGAACTGCTGGGCACAGCTGGGCACTGCTGGGAACTGCTGGGCATTGATGGGCACTGCTGGGCACTGCTGGGCACAGCTGGGAACTGCTGGGAACTGCTGGG